ATAAATAATAAAATAATAATAATAATAATACTTTCCAAGATCCAACACCGTTCACTTACAGAAGGTTTTGCTGGGGCAGGTGATCCTGGTTGCCAAATGTTATGTATTAAATAGTTAATTGGTTAGGATGCTAAGCTCGAAAAGGTTGATGTAATTTCATTAGAAGATACCTTAGAGGAGATACAGCTATATTCGAGGGGTTGTGTTTTTTTTAAAATGTATTTATTTGTTGTGATCATTACTTGTAGATGACATGGGGGAGAGGGGCAAAAAGCTATATAACGTTTAGCATTTTAGTGATCTATTTGGAGACTATGGACTACTGTAAATTACATCTGCTACGTTTTGCTTTTTTTTCAGGCACCGTACCTTATCTCAAGACAAAGTTTATTTGTGTCACTCCGTAAGTATTGCTTCACTCCTTTTATAGTTCTTTATGTCCACCATACAGCTATATGCTGCTGACTGCGCAACGTTTCTAACAAGCTCATTCAGGAAGGACCACATTTATTCATCAGCTAAATGAGTTTAGGATAACCAAAATCAATACAAATTTGCAATTGTATTGTATTATAGAATTCATTTATTTCAATTGATTGATCAAATCCCGTTGGGTACCATCCATTGTCCGATTAACTATTTTCACAATCAAATACCATATAAAATTATACGATTTACATGTTTATTAAACACAGGGGATTAACACTCAACAAATCTGTTTGTAGGAAACAACAAAATTCACATGGCTTTTGCAGATAGAGATCTGCTATGTTTTGCTAACTGGCAGTGTAAGCAGCTAGAGAGGAAATAATTGAGTATAATTCCCTCCTCTATGGTGTTAATCTATTAGCACTATTTAGATAACTCGTAGGGGGAAAAAAATTATTATTGCGGTTTATTCTATTGCATTAGTTGGACACGATCTACCTGCAAATTTGGTCTAACTCATTTGGTTTCAATCATCATTCCAGGTTTTTTTTCCATAAATTTTTTTTACATTTGTGGAGAGGTTGAAATCCTGTCTACATTGTCTAATTCGCTGACTGTGTTGTAAAATCCAGATATTGATATATTCAGGCTTTAGTAAATAACCCTGTAAGAACATAAACTATATTTAATGGGATCATATATATATATAATTTTATTTTTTATTTATTTTTTTAATACTGACTTCTATGTAAGTTACCTCTCCCCCTCCCCCTGCCCCACTCTCTTTTTAAATTTTTTATTTATTTCCATGAAGCCCAAACATGTTAATAACATAAAAACCTACCTTAAATCCAGAACTGGGTGAAGCTTGAGCATTTTCATGCCCCGTCCATCGTCCCAAAGCATTGCCCATTTACCCTTCATGGTCCAATCAAATGATTATTATGGAGAAGCATTTGATTGTCCAGTTCACCTTGTAAAATCTAACCTTCCCCTTGCAAGCGTGCTCCCTTCGCTGCCTGCATGGTGTAAAAAGCTCACTATGTCTGTCGCCATTGCACAGTACTCGCTGATGACATATATAAATTTTGCACAGATTAAAACTAGGCAACCTGGACTGCAGTTCAGGGCTGCCAAAGACACATTTGCTGGGGGTGTAACTAGCCCCCAACAAAAAAAAAGTGCAAATATTTTTTATTTGCATTGTTTCAAGCTGAAACACTGCGCATACAGATTAATTTCTTCATGACCATTACAAACAGCAGAAGTGGCCATGGACTTTGGAGAAACAACAGAGAGTCGTGACTGTTTAATTTGTATTAACAGGACAACATGCAGCAGTACATTAGATCTACCAATGTCTCCTCGGACCTTGGACTCATTGATGCAATTTCCAGGTGAAGGGGCTGAAGCAGGAGCTGCAAACCAGTTTGGTAGGTGCATAATTTACTCTGTCAAAATAGTGTATTGAGAGAGAAGTTATGTACCAGTATGTGCCTGTTTAGATAAGAAAGAGCACATTTAGCAAGAGGTGGAGATGTTTTTAAGAATATATGAAGTTGAGAAAGCCACAATGGAAGGCTCCACTGTAAGACGCATTATGGTAAAGCACCTGAAAGCAATGGGAGATGGGAATTTATGAGGGACATAGTTGGCCCTTGGTTTTCGCATTATTAATTGAGATTGTATGGTGATGCATGTGAAGTGTAAGCTGGGTCTAGGAATACTAAGATGTTGTCACATTGTAAGAGCATATTCCACATCTTTAATACATACATGTACATGATGTGTGTCATACTTAAGCTAATTACTGTTCTTTCAATTCACAGAAACGTTAACATTCGATATGGAGCTGACGTCTGAATGTGCATCTTCTCCGATGTGACCTGCTTGGTTTTAGTTTTATTTTATTTTTTTGTCTTTTTATATACGTGTTTTAACTCGTCCACCCAAAGAAAATAAAGAGACGTAAAATGGAGCCTTTCCCCAATTTAAACAAATTTACATTCAACATTTATACAATCATGTTTTATATCACTGCGGTTAATTATTGGCATCAGATAGTTGTCCAGTTAACTGCAGTGCACTGCAAACGGTAAATATTAAAACATATTACTTTTTTTTTTTTTTTTTGTTTATCAATATTGGTGTGCTTAAACCAATTTCCTGGTATCTGCTCTTATAAAGGACAATTATGATCTCCACAATCTTTTAAAGCTGTATAATGCTAGGCTTGACAATTTTAATTTAAATGTAGGTGCAAGCCACATATATTTTAGAACTGGCCCAAGTGCTTATGGGTTTTCTCTTAACTCCCAATATTCAAGTATCAACATGGGCTGGGTTTTTGGAGCTGATTCTTTGAATTGTCAGCACGCTGGGTTTGTTGCATAATGTGGCCCACAATCCATTTGTTATGTATAGACCTGACTTTGTGGGTCAAATGCAAAGGGGAGCAGAGCCAAGACAGCTCTTTAATGCGTAATCTTGGTGCTGAGAAAAAATTAATAGGTGCCAAGAGTTTTTCAAGGGATGATTTAAAACAGTCCAGCATTTTAAATTAAAGAACGGTATTTAACATTATCTAAATTTCATGGTGCCACCCTCTTTAAAAAAAAAAAAAAAGTTACTTTTAATTGAGAACTGTTGTCCAATCCAGTGCCTCACACGTGTGCATTGAGAGTTTGGGTGCTATGAGCAGGTGCTCAAGGGGAGTGAGGATGAGCACCCTCCCGGTTGTCTCACAGCTGGAACCTGAAAGGGTGCAATCTAAAAAAACTTATAAAAGTGCAGATTTCTCTTGAAATCAGCACTTTGTAAATAGCAAACATGAAGTGACACTTGGTAACTCCTACAGCACTTCAACAAGTTGACGTGCTTCAGTTGAGTGGAGTGTTTCTTTAATAAATTGAAAAACGTGAATGAAATTGTGATCATTTAAAAAAAACTTTTCTTCTTTCAGAAAGAAAGCATTCAGTAATGAAAAAAAATGTTTCTTTTTTTAGAAATAGAACGTCATATGCAACAACAACTTTATCAAACCCTTTTACTGTAACAAACAAAGCTTATTCGCTAAAACTGGGAATTGTGGAGAATTGTCAAATTTTAGGATAATGTAACATCTGGAAAAAAATAGGCAAATTAAAAAAAGATTTTTTTTTCCAATTTGTTGGTTGTGTCCCACATTTAACCGTTGTCAATTCTTCATTATTCCTAGTTTAGTAAATAACCCTGTACGTCATCATATCTTAACTACACAGTATCTGTATATTAATCCCATTCTATAACTATTTATAATTTCTTAAAAGTCATTGCTATTGTTTATGAGCAATGTTTTTAATGCCATACTAACATTTTTGTGCATGTAATGTGCTTGTCTGTTTTCTGAAATGTTATAAGAAACTAAGAGGAGGAAAAAAAATCTGGTTTGCGTCAGATTAAATTTCTTTCTTTTTTTTTTTTTTTTTTTTATATAAATGTACAATGTAAGAAAATACTAAATGAATGTTGTTTTCTTTCTTTAAACTTGTTTTTTGTTTGTGTGTAAATTTTATATACCAGGTAATATTTGTGCGTTAACGCGACAAACACCTTAAGGTCACACTCCAGGCACCTAGGCATTAAGTGTCATAGCAAAAATCTTTTTAAGAAGAAAAATAAATCAAAATCATTGTTCCTCATCTATAAGCAGACGTCATCTACTTTTCTATAGTGTGTTGTTTTGGTTGTTCAATAAGAAGTTACAGGTGGCAGCGTGGGGGATAGGACAGAAATACACTGCATGTGGAGCAGGCCGTGTGGTACAAAAAAGACATAGCGCAGCAGCCATGAAGTGATGTTTACCATTTGTCTGTCCAGGTGATCTCTCCTTCTAAAGCAAGGTACTTGGCTTACAGCAGTTAATTTCATGTTGTGCAGTCAGTAAGTGAGCTGTATGTATTCATCTTAAAATGGGATCTGCTTTTCTCAGGGTTTATGTTTTACATTTACTTATCCCCATGTTTCTGGGTTTTTTTTTAGTTTTTTTTTTAAGTGAGACATAAATGATAGACATACTACAGAGAAGAACCATACAGCTGACTATTACATCACAAGAACAGAAACTAAAATAGGTGTATACAGGTAAACAACGTCTCGGTTTAAAATTTTTTTAAAAAGTCAAATGTGTGGTCTCAGAGGCAGGGACTAGGTTAAAATAAACTTTGGCTGACATTTAGTTGCTGTCTGAGACTGAGGTAAACAATATTGCATTAGACAGGTAAGTGTGCCAGCACAGCTATATATAGATAGGCTTAGACTTATCGGGCACAGAGAGCGGAGTTGGAATATTAACAGGAGAAGAGCATTTTACCAAAAAGGTCATTTGATAACCATGAACCGCACAGGTAGTAGGAATCAGGTATTCATAAACAGAACACAACATTTAACAAGTAAGAAGCAACAAACAAACCAGTCTACGCTCAATAGAGACAGAGGGATGGCTGTGAACATGTCAGCAACAGAATCCTTCCCAGATCAGGAATAAGCCAAATGGTTTGGGTAAACTAGAAAAATTGTCAGAGCTGTGGCAACTGGCATTCAATGTGGATAAGTGCATATAATAAGATAATGCATATTGGACATAAAAACCCATGGACAGAGTATAGAACACTTGAGAGTCTTAACCTCAACATCTGAGGAAAGGCCCGCGGGGCAAGTCCATACCTCTTATACCCTGCCCCTCGTGCCCCAGCCCTGTACACCTTCTTCTACCACATCACACCAACTTCTCTTTGGCAGGAGAATGCACAACCCTTTCCTTCCCTTCTTCTAACTCACATTCTTTACCTTCATACATACCTATACACACTGATAGACTGATTCTTGTACCTACTACTTACGCACCCACATTCTGGTGGCAGCTAACCTCCGTGAGCAAACGTGACGTAACTGGCTAATAGAGCAGCTTCCCGCAAACTCTGTATAGACACAACAATGCATTTGTGGGGGCAGGCTCCCGAGAGCCCACTGTTAGGATAACTGGGACGGATAAGATTGTGAGACACGTCCTAGCTGTCGTTTCCACACCACAACTCGAGTCTGATGAACAGTATTGAACCTGGTGATATACTGTGGGGCTTAATACTTTGTAAATAATACCTGACCTTAACGTTGTTTCGCGATTGTCACGCCTGATATGACATATGATATTAGTAATGCCCCAAGGAAAGGGGGAACTGGAAGGAACAAGCGCTCATGAGAAGGGCGAAAGGTTGCAAGGCATGACCCTAAGATGGGGCGTGAGCGGATGCATTGTGCTATGTAGAGATTAATGTTTAACCCCTCAAGGACACCGCTTCAGAAGCTTGTCTTACGCTTAATGACACAAGCAATTTTTGCATTTTCTTGCTGTATGCGTTCAACTGCAATTTGCATCTCTCTCGTTTATTGCACCGACACATATTTACTGTTTTTTAAAGGACAGACAGGGCTTTAATTTGATGTAAAATATATATATATATATATATATATATATATATATATATACATTATTTATTATTTAAAAAAAAAAAAGAAACATTTTGTGTTTTTTGTACAGTTTTTGCAATAATAATGTGTGCCTAATTAGTGCAGGTTAAAGAAAGTAAAAATAAATACATTTAGTTCTGATTTACAGAATATATAATGTGTCTGGGATTTTAAGGTTTTTTTTTTTTTTTTGGTTGTTACAGGTCACAAAGCACAAGGAGTAAAATAAACTTTTAATGTGGAGCGATTTTAGAATTTGGTATGTTTGTCTTGTAAGCTTAATAGCCATAAAAGAAAACAAAATTGCCACACAAAAGTATATATTTATATAAAGTAGACATCACAGGCTATTGTCCTAAGGAGGGAAACATAGAGTCCGTTTGGGCTACGTTAGAATTTGGTAATCACACAGTAACTCGTGTAGGTGTGATTTATAGGCCCCCAGGACAAATTGAAGAGTTAGATAATCTACTAGTTGAGGAAATAGCTAAAATGACAATGAAGGGGGAAGTTATCATCATGGGTGACTTTAATCTTCCTGATGTAAATTGGAAAACAAAATTAGCTACTTGTGCCAGGAGCACACATATTCTAAACTCCCTACTGGGATTGTCTCTAAAACAAGTTGTTGAGGAGCCAACTCGTAAAGAGGCCATACTAGATTTAGTGTTAACAAATGGAGATTTGGTATCAGATATTACTGTAGGTGAAAGTTTAGGATCCAGTGATCATCAGTCAGTGTGGTTTAATATAAGAACAGTGACTGAGTCACACCACACAAAAACAAAAGTTTTAGACTTTAGAAAAACAGACTTTTCTAAAATTAGAATATGGGTAGAGGAGTCATTATCAGACTGGAGCAATTTAAATGGAGTCCAAGAAAATGGGATTATTTAAAAGTTGCACTATTGAAGGCAACAGAAAATTGCATTAGGCTTGTCAGTAAAAGCAAAAAATTCAAGAAACCACTGTGGTACTCCGCAGATGTGGCCAAAATAGTTAAAAACAAAAAGTTAGCATTTAGGAATTATAAAAAAAACCAGAGTGAGGAAGACAAAATGATCTATAAGATTAGGCAGAAAGAGGCTAAGCAAGTTATAAGAGCTTCCAAATCACACACAGAAGAGAAAATAGCACAGTCAGTAAAAAAGGGGGATAAAACATTTTTTAGATACATAAATGAGAAAAGAAAAGTAAAACAAGGATTAGTTAGATTAAAAACAAAAGAAGGAAGGTATGTAGAAGAGGATAAAGGTCAGGCTGACTGCCTCAATGAATATTTTTGTTCTGTATTTACAGAAGAAAATGAAGGAAAGGGACCTCAGTTGAGAAAAAGGATAAATGAGTCATTTATTACACGTGAGTTTACAGAGGAAGAGGTTCTATTTCAACTGTCAAAAGTAAAGACAAATAAGTCAATGGGACCTGATGGAATACACCCAAAGCTATTAAAAGAGCTTAGTGGTGTACTAGCAAAACCATTAACAGATTTATTTAACCAATCATTGTTAACAGGAGTAGTCCCAGAAGATTGGAAGTTAGCGAATGTTGTGCCCATTTACAAGAAAGGTAATAGGGAGGAGTCGGGCAACTATAGGCCAGTAAGCCTTACTTCAGTAGTGGGGAAAGTGATGGAAACCATGTTAAAGGATAGGATTGTTGAACATCTAAAAACACATGGATTTCAAGATCAGAGACAACATGGGTTTACTTCAGGGAGATCATGCCAAACTAATCTTATTGATTTTTTTGATTGGGTAACTAAAATTATAGATCAGGGTGGTGCAGTAGACATTGCTTACCTAGATTTCAGTAAGGCTTTTGACACTGTTGCACATAGAAGGCTTATCAATAAACTGCAATCTTTAAGTTTGGATTCCAATATTGTTGAATGGGTAAGGCAGTGGCTGAGTGACAGGCAACAGAGGGTTGTAGTTAATGGAATATATTCGAAGCTTGGACTTGTCACCAGTGGGGTACCTCAGGGATCTGTACTTGGACCCATTCTCTTTAATATTTTTATTAGTGATATTGCAGAAGGTCTTGATGGTAAGGTATGTCTTTTTGCTGATGATACTAAGATATGTAACAGGGTTGATGTTCCAGGAGGGATAAGCCAAATGACAAATGATTTAGGTAAACTAGAAAAATGGTCAGAATTGTGGCAACTGACATTTAATGTGGATAAGTGCAAGATAATGCATCTTGGACGTAAAAACCCAAGGGCAGAGTACAGAATATTTGATAGAGTTCTAACCTCAACATATGAGGAAAGGGATTTAGGGGTGATTATTTCTGATGACTTAAAGGTAGGCAGACAATGTAATAGAGCAGCAGGAAATGCTAGCAGAATGCTTGGTTGTATAGGGAGAGGTATTAGCAGTAGAAAGAGGGAAGTGCTCATGCCATTGTACAGAACACTGGTGAGACCTCACTTGGAGTATTGTACACAGTATTGGAGACCGTATCTTCAGAAGGATATTGATACCTTAGAGAGGGTTCAGAGAAGGGCTACTAAACTGGTTCATGGATTGCGGGATAAAACTTACCAGGAAAGGTTAAAGGATCTTAACATGTATAGCTTGGAGGAAAGACGAGACAGGGGGGATATGATAGAAACATTTAAATATATAAAGGGAATCAACACAGTAAAGGAGGAGACTATATTTAAAAGAAGAAAAACTACCACAACAAGAGGACATAGTCTTAAATTAGAGGGACAAAGGTTTAAAAATATCAAGAAGTATTACTTTACTGAGAGGGTAGTGGAGGCATGGAATAGCCTTCCAGCTGAAGTGGTAGAGGTTAACACAGTGAAAGAGTTTAAGCATAAGGCCAGCTATAAGATAAGGCCAGGGACTAATGAAAGTATTTTAGAAAATTGGGCAGACTAGATGGGCCCAATTAGTTCCCACCTGCCATCACATTCTAGGTTTCTATCAGCCTATAGCTTTCTGGAGCAGAACCTAGACCAACCTTGGCAGGGTTGTCTTCGTTTAAAATAACTTAAGATAAGTGTTGCTTGGGGAGTTCAGATGCTGAGGTGAATCAATGTCATTAGTCTATTAGTACTGGAGGCAACTATATATGCCTTAACCAGAGGTTAGTGTCTAAATATTAGAAGAGGGCCGGAAACCAGGCTACCCCAGGTTGAGTGACGTATTTAAGGTACCGTATATACTCGAGTATAAGCCGACCCGAATATAAGCCGAGGCCCCTAATTTTACCCCAAAAAACTGGGAAAACTTATTGACTCGAGTATAAGACTAGGGTGGGAAATGCAGCTACTGGTAAATTTCTAAATAAAATTAGATCCTAAAAAAATTATATTAATTGAATATTTATTTACAGTGTGTGTATATAATGAATGCTGTGTGTGTGTGTTGCTGTGCCTTGGTGGGGGGTGGGCATTTTTATTATTTTTTTTAAATTATTTTAATAATTTTTTTGTTTTATTATTATTTTTTATTTTATTATTATTTTTAATATTTTATTATTATATTTATTTATTTTTGTCCCCCCTCCCTGCTTGATACATGGCAGGGAGGGGGGCTCTCCTTCCCTCGTGGTCCAGTGGCATTGGCAGTTCAGTGGGGGGAGGAGGGTGGCTGGCAGAGCTGTTACTTACCTCTCCTGCAGCTCCTGCCAGCTCTCTCCTCCTCCGCGCCGGTCCGGTCAGCACATCGGTCAGCTCCCAGTGTAAGTCTCGCGAGAGCCGCGGGGTCATAGTGCGGCTCTCGCGAGACTTACAGTGTGAGCTGAGAGAAGAGCTGCACGGACCGGCGCGGAGGAGGAGAGAGCGGACAGGAGCTGCAGGAGAGGTAAGTAACAGCTCTGCCAGCCCCCAGTCTGTATTATGGCAATATAAATTGCCATAATACAGACTGACTCGAGTATAAGCCGAGTTGGGGTTTTTCAGCACAAAAAATGTGCCGAAAAACTCGGCTTATACTCGAGTATATACGGTACATGGTGCTTTTTCAACATACTAATGAAAAATAAAGTGTGTGTATATACACTTGACTCAGTGTCCGTATTCGGTGCATCTATTAAATTAATTCGGATATTTATCAAATCTCCAGAAAATATATAAAAGCAGGAAAACATTAGTCATGGTTAAGTGTGCAAAAAACTGTGGGCATGTCCACACTTTCAATAATTGGGGCCATTATCGGCACTAGAAGGGACGGTAGTTGCGAGGAAGGGAGTGGTGTTGCCAACATCCCATCGATTAGTTGAGGCCATGGCCTGTCAAGGCTCTTTTTTTTTTTCCCTGTAAGTCTGTAACTTGGACTAGTGTGTGCAAAGGCCCATCTTTCATGACTTGCAGGGAACACAGGGAAAATAAACAAGTTTTAACTTTATGTGGGTTCCAAAAAAACTAAGACTTAAGTTTTCATAGAAACGTAGGTTTATTTAGAAAAGTACAATATAAAAAAAGTTGCCTAACTGACACTGGACATCCTAACGCTTGTAGGGCTTCATAGTAAACAAAAGAGCGGATTTATTTTAAGGAGATATGTATTTGCATATAACCAATGTTTCAGTCCAACTACCTGGACATATTAAGAAAAGTTTTGGGAATGGGACTGAAATGGTGAATGTAACTCCATGGCTGAGGTCATTAATCTGTATGAACTTAGCTAATCAAATGCTTTCCTATAGGAGAGCATTGGGAGGATATTGTGCATGTTCTCTATTATTTTTTTTATTTATATAGCGCCAACAAATTCCACAGCACTGTACAGTGGGTGGACTAACAAACATGTATTTGTAACCAGACACTGCAGCACTGACCCAGGACTCTCTAGTAGCCGTCTGAGTGACTGTCCCTAGAGTTGTTACTAGGCA